ATCAATATAAGTGGGTGTGACCAGATCAATATAAGGCCTCTAAGTGGGTGTGGTCAGACAACAGGGGATGTCTACTTGATCAATATAAGGCCTCTGAGTGGGTGTGGTCAGACAACAGGGGATGTCTACTTGATCAATATAAGGCCTCTGAGTGGGTGTGGTCAGACAACAGGGGATGTCTACTTGATCAATATAAGGTGCCTCTGAGTGGGTGTGGTCAGACAACAGGGGATGTCTACTTGATCAATATAAGGCCTCTAAGTGGGTGTGACCAGATCAATATAAGGCCTCTAAGTGGGTGTGACCAGATCAATATAAGGCCTCTAAGTGGGTGTGACCAGATCAATATAAGGCCTCTAAGTGGGTGTGACCAGATCAATATAAGGCCTCTAAGTGGGTGTGACCAGATCAATATAAGGCCTCTAAGTGGGTGTGACCAGACAACAGGGGATGCTCACTCCTCCTAGGCACCTGATCCGACCTTTAGTGTTTCTAGGGGCCCGTGTTCTTTCCTTGCTCATCATTTATTTTCTTTAAATTTACAGAATTAATAAGAATAATCACTGTTCAGTATCTCCTTTCACACTCGAAAAGTTCATCAGTGGAATTCAAATATAATGTATGTCTACTGCTTTTCCTTAATTAATGTCAAATTTCATTTTGCCATCATAAGCAGATTTTACTCTTTAAAATCTCTTTATTTCTATTAAAAATTTTATCAAACATGAATAAATTGAAGTCAGAAAATGTTGTTTATACATGTTATATGAATATTTCCCCCATTTCTAAGTCCAAATAGACCAAGTATATGTATTGTCACCATAATCAGAACATCAGAGAAAGAGGACTTTGTGACTGGATGAGGGTTGTGAACCACGGGGTTCTTGTTTTCTTGTGAAAATATTTGAAACATGCAGCTCTGAAAATCAGTTTGTGAGTTCTCAGGTAAAGGATATTAAACCTGTGCTATGTTACAAAACAATTTAAACAAAGGAATTGACACTGGACAAACTTTGCTAAACAAATTTCAAAATTGTGCAGCATTTTGAAGAATAAACCAAGTAGTTTCCATCGGGTTCAGGCTTACTAAACTATAAGGTACACTTATTATAGGGTATGATAGAAAAAACTGGACTTTTTTGAGCTATTGAAAGATTATTGCCAGTTAGATATTTATAGAACTTGTAAAGGAATCTTTCAGTGCTATTTCCTGTAACATAAACAGAAAAGAAGCATGATATTACTAGATTATTTATTATTTAAATATTCCAAATGTTTCTATCCAAAAGGAAAAAAAAACATATATGACCAACAAAAAAAAATAATTTTCCATGTGATACACACAGGTACACAACTTTTTTCCTACATGCTCATCTTTTCTTCTTGATCGAGAGAACTTTAGGTTTCAAGTCCAAGGGCTACTTTCTCTTACTTTGTTTTAAGAACAAAGCCAGTTGAGCTACAAACTCATTAGAGACTCTTGGTTCAAAATTCATCTTAAGGACGCTCTAAACAATGCACACTAAAGAGCTCTATTTATTGGGTAGTTTTATGCAGTTAGAGTGATCTGCACTTAGATTTATTATTATTAAAGATATTATTGTTATTTACCGTTAATCACATAATTTATAATAGATTAAATATTTTTAGCATTATATAAGACCAAGAGTAAGAAATTTAATTATTTTCATTAAATTTCCAAATGTAAGTAAACAACAGTGATTTCTGCTCACAAATAGTCCATAGTCTTTGAACATTCCTGCGCAAGTAAGGCACGCACCTATGTTTTAAATCAATGAAAAAGTCTCAATATGCATATCTTTATATGATATATTTACTCTGAGTCCAAAAAACAGTTTCTGTGAGTGTTTAGAGCTCTCGTAATATCTTAATAAGAAAGTGTAGATTTTTAAAAATTGTTTAAAACATTATTCCAAGGATAGGGTGGAGCCACAATTAGGGATGAAAGTTTTACATTGAAATATGTACAACAAAAATTACCAAAAATCTTCTTCTCAATAACTCACTGAACCAGAAAATATGAAACTCATGGGGAAGCTTCCTTGTGAAGTGTAGATTTTAAATAGTTCAAATCATGAGCAGTGTAGATTCAAAATTTATTCACATCATTGGCCTAGTGGTAGAGTTGGGGCACAATACCGGTATGTGATCAAAGATTTACACAGGAATAGACGGCATGGTGCTTCAAGTGAGCATTGTCTCCCATGGGCCTCTGGCTTAAAATCTGTTTTACTGTGTCTTATTTTGGAAATGAAAGTTAATTAAACTCATGTATGAAAGTTATATTAGGGATGTTCAAATAAGAAAGTTGTAATGAGTAACCAAGGTGGGGGCAGTAGGAAGTCACTGTATGTGTAGAACATTTATCTATTCACATCTTCAGATAGTGTAGAACCATGTTTCTTTCTTTTTTTTTTTTTTTTTTTGGTTTAAGTCTCAATTTTCTTCACATAACTTTGTTTCAGGAGTTCGTTTCTGGTCTGCTTATGACGCATGGACATTTTTTCACGGTTTTTTTTTTTCAAAGATTGTTGAAAAAAAATTTTTTGTTTCACACATTTACTAATCAAGTTACTGCATTTAATAATGCAAAATTATTCATAAAAATTGTAAAACTTGTATTGTAGTGGCGTGTTCTTGGGCGCTGGTTCCCTGATCGGAAAGTTAATGTTCGATTCACAGGTAACTGTGGCAGGACCCCCCCCTTCCCCCCTCGATATTCATCCCCGGGGATTATTGGACTTTTTTTTTCAAAAATTACATGTATTACACTTATTCATTATGTGTACAATATGAAAAAATCGTCAACACCCAAAACCAATCGCTCCACAAAAAATACCCCACTATACATTATAAGGGAGATATGTACATGTATAGTGGGGTATTTTTTTGTGGAGCGATTGTTTTGGGGTTTTGACGATTTTTTCATATTGTACACATGATGAAGTTGACATCCGATTTGACCAAAAATGTATCCCACTGTATAGCATGCCTAATACCCCATTCATACGACATGATTTGCATACCTCAGTATATTTTACACATGAGTAAATTTAATCACATGTGCAATTTTTGTCGTATGAACTGATTTACTCATATGCAAATTCTGCACAGATGAATAAATTTACACCTGGTCAGGACTAGGTGCAAATTAACTTTTGCATACACTTTGTAGCAAATTATTAGTTCATATGTGTAAATATTGTCGTACGAACACGCAGCAAATTTACATAAGTATGTAATTGGTTTTGTTTATTGCTTAAATATCTATTTCAAGTGTTGTTTCGGTTATGAATGCATAGTCGTGTAAAATTTCTGTCGATAAACATGGTGGCTAGAAGGCAAAACTCGCAACAAGGAGCCATTATTTCCTCCGAGATAAATTTTCGATTTTGCAAAAACAAGTGCAACTTGTACCCTATCTGGCAAACCTTTGTTGATAGCTATGGTCGCAAACAAATGCCCTGTAGGATCAATAACTAGTGTCCTTACTATACAAGTTGTCTCCTTGGGAATGCTCCGGAGCTATGATATAAACATCCATTCCATCAATCGCTCGAGCCCTATTACCGTTAAGCTCTTCATGACTTTCTTCTACCTTTCTACATGTATGTTTTTAATTCAGCAAAGCTACTCACATATAAGTTAAAGTTACAGGAATTTCAATAAACTCGTTGAAAGTAAGCATTCGTATCATCGAGCTACTTGGCACCTAATCCCACCATGAATTTCTAGGGGTTCGTGTGAATTTCCTATTCACATATTTGTATTGTTCAAATATTTTTTAGATCGATCACTGTTAGTTTTCTTCTCCCTTTTCATTCTCCTGCAAAATACATAATTATCATATTCAAGCAGATATTTTATAATGGCTTCGCACGCTTGATGTACTGTAGATTTTCCAACACCAAAAAGATTCCAATAGTCTTATTTCTGCTGAAAACGTCAACCAGTAGATGGCAACAGTCACCTTTTTCTTTACATCTAACGGCTCTCCTACAGTCTTTATGACCAAGGCCAAAACATTTTCCAACATTAAACAAAAATTTTGATAAATTTTCCTTCTTCGTGTGTAAATTATAATACCATTCTTTGTCCTTTAAGTCATTAAGTTCAGGTTTTTTTTTTTCGTACCAATAAATCATTGGATAGGAACCCCCCTCTAGTTTCGTTGAGGAACATCCAATAGTTAGTCTATACCCATATAGTAAGGAAATACTCTTTTTAATAAAAATTCACAATTCTGAGTCTGTCCATCTCCTTATTTTATATGAAAATATGAAGATTTACTAACAATACATAAATCTTGTCTGAACGCATAGCAAATTAACTTTTACTTACGTGTGTAAATTTACTTATATGTATAACAAATATATATATATAAACAAATTTTCGTCGTATGAATGGGGTATTAGTGATTGAAATTAACGGTGCCATTTTTATCAGAAACTGAATGGTACTTTTTTTCGCTTGTGAGTTTCTTAGGGGGGGGGGGTGTCAACTTAGAAAATTCCTGTATAGGAAGGGAAGGGTTTGAAATATGAATGGTGGCTGTCTTGAGAGCTCCTGTCCTCCCAGGCTTAGACGAAACATTTAATATGTCTAGTCCCCCCCCCCCCCCCCACGCCCGAATTTAAGTTTCGTAAGTATCAATTTCTAAGAATGTATGACAGTTTGCTCCTATAATGTTGACTTTTGGTTTGGGAAAATTAGTCATTCGATAAGTCCTTTCATCCCCAAAATTGTACACAGATAACCGAAATAGTTTCTCAGACAGAAAGATAATTTAGCCTTCTTGCAAAAAGGCCTATGTTACATTTGGTATCAAATGTTTTCGGGGTTTTTTTTTCATTGTGTATTTATTTTTTGATTTGACATTGTCTGTTTCTTTACGTCAGTAGAATTACTTGAGACGAATTGTCACTTCCACTACGGCACGTACCTGTTGTGTTCATTAGCAGTTTAATCTATTTCTATCGCTGGCGACAGGTTATACCGTATATTGATGTGGACAACTATAATGCATACCGTTTGTTCAATGGTATATTTTCTGTACACCTGAACAGCGCTGTAAACGAGAAAAGCAATATGTATAGGATCAAAGATTACATGTAGACTGTGTATCGAACTGTCAAGGAGTATCCACTGTGTATAAAACTGTCATTCACCTCATACGTTCATGGACAGATGTTTTTCCGGACATAATTTCTTAACGTAGAAAGTGTTGTTCGCGGTTTCTTGTCGTACAAATATGAAATAACCAGTGATTTTTATCTTACATTTATTACAACGTTTATTGCAAGGAATTACGCTTGCTCCTTCAGAATGGGCTGTGTTCACACAACGTCATCCAAAGAAGACAACACGGTGAAAACCTTGTATCTACATCGTAAACTAACGAGGAAGTCCCGCAAACACGCGTCCGGCGGACAAACCACGGGATCAGAGCCCGAACCCGCTAACCCGAATGACCTTTCCATCCCTAGGAATTACTCTTGTGCAAGCATCCTGTCTTTGGATTTCCCCGTGGAAGGGAAGGAATATTTTAAGTTCCCCCGCTGGCGGGGTTACAAGATGTGTAACGTGTGTGACAAGGACGAAAAGATAGATATCACACTGACGATGGAAACAGCCAAACACAAGTTATGTAACCGATGTATGATGATCACAGAAATCAGGAACAATATGCAATCGTGTGCGAAGTCCAAAGTCAGCGCAACGGCTTTTGCTAACCTTTTGGCTTTGGTATGGTATTATAACATATACATTATGTATTGGTTACGTATATTGACGTATATTTTACGCATCTATATTTTTAATAAGATGGTTTATTTTTTGGCATATTGGCTTTTGGATTTGATGTTTCGTAAGTGACAATGATGTTAGTTTAATTTTGAGAGCGGTTGGTTTTCCTATTTCTTGGATCGAAATAGGACACATGACCCAAATATTTAATAAGATCATCATTCTAGAGTAATTTTTATAGAAGAATGAGTAATTGGTCTGTTGGTTCATTTTTTTTAACGGCTGATCCTCAGTTTGATGTCGTTCTTTTTAATAATGCTATATATTCCAATAATTTTTTTTTTTTTTGCAATAGAGATGTGACCCCAAATAAAATTTCTTTTATGTTATAAATAGCTCAAGGTATTCATAAAACCACGAAAACGAAGAGAAACTGTTGGGTTCGTTTACATTAAGCGTTATCATTTGGGATGATAAGGTACGATAATATTACAATAACAAAACAACAAAGAGACAGATAGGTAATGAATACCTTAGTTAGTAAACCCCAAAGGTGATTCAAGGGAATAGGTGTCGCAGAGGAACACGAGAATTTACGCTACATTGCTACGGTGATCAGAGTATTGTGTTGATGCCTTCCCATAGAGAGGTACGTGCTCTCCTATATGGTCTAAAGATCAATTAGTAACACACGTGTGTTGAATTGTCAGGTATTTTAACCATTCATGCATGAATAAAAAAATTCTGTGTATTGCATGCTTTTTCCCGCAGTACCACACGGAAAACTTTCGTTGACATTTAAGTGGAAGACTTACTGCGTGTCAAGTACTTTAGGGATGTCATGCATGTGAAACAATTATAAAATATATTCAGCTTTTTTATTTACTAATAAAAGTCAGAAGTTTAAACTTTTGAAAGGATTTTCAAGAGCAATATTCTCAGCAGATGCAGAAGATGAAACATTCCTGCAGTCTATCATTCAACAGTTTGAAAATATTACAGCGTAAAACGAGAGGGAAAAAGGGGGGGGGGGGGTATTTAAACGATTGAAATCTTGGAGCGTAAATATGTGATACTTCTTTCCTTTTAAAAAAAAATCAGATTGCTTTGTACATGTTTTCAAAAACATAAAATGCTTACAGTATACATATAGTACATGGTCTACACATGCATATATTAGGTACACTCACTGTACCAGGTTACGACTTCATATAATAATAATAAAAAGTAATTGAGGTATAGTTTTGATGGGTTCATGGCAGTACTTTTTGTTGTGTAATGGAGATTAGTCAGAGATAAGTGGAGGTTTTATCTAGACTGATGACCAGGAAGTATTAATTAAGAACCAGAGAAATTAGGGTTATTTTAGTTCACTCACCAGGGGGACTCTATCATATATCGTAACCTATCCCATCTCTCAGCGAATAGTTTATTACTGGCTATCTAGTTTGTCAATGAATTTTGTGATATATTAATTTGTTTTTCATGAATATGGAGGCTGCAGATCAAGCTTTTAAGATGTTTATGCAGATTTAGCTTTATTAAAAAAAACGGACACATTCCCTTGTAGTAATTCAGGCATTTCTTATCAGTATTTAGCACTAAGTACAGAGCTACCTCTATTGACAGTACTCTATAAGATTGACTGTATCTTACCTACCACATAAGTGGTACCTGATATACACAGGTAAATTTATCACCTGAACTAAACACCATTTACAGACACCTGTTTTTTTTTTCTGGTTATTACACAAGATGAATCTGTGATGGCCAAAATAAAAACTGTCATTTAAAATGTCTCCCCTGTTGTTTTTTTTTTTATGTGAGAAAAAACTTGCATAAATGAATATAAAATTGAAATTAACTTGCTGATAATGATGGGAAAATAAATTAGTACTCAGATGTTATTTTTTCCCTTTGCAGGAAATTATTTTTAGATAAGATTTTATTCAATTAAAGAATACTTCTTTAAACATCACCCCCCCCTTCCCCTTCAAAATTTAAATACTAGTACATAAATTTATGTTGAAAGTTCTGTCTTCTATTTCAGTTAAATGTATCTTGAAAATATTGAATAAAGTCACAAATTTTTTGCAGACTTTACAATTAAGCCAAGGGTTTCTGATCAGATCTTTGCAACTGTGCCTAAAGAGAATAGATTGTTACATTTATGTGTATGTGTGAAATCTAATATTATAAAAATATTTAGAAAGATGGATAGGTAGGGCTGGAAGAAAAAGTTAGGAATTACTAAACATAGTCAGAATTTGATAATTCAGTCTTATAATGCTCTCATTTTTTTTTTACCCCACCCCCACCCCCCAATCACAAATTTTAATACTAATTGGTTTTTTTTATATCTTTTTTTGTCCTGATATCTTAACTTTTAAAGTATCTTAATAAAGTCTTCTTGGTATATGTTTATCAACAATGTAATTGTAATATGATGGCATAGGTTATCATATGGGTGTTGCCTTAAATTTTATAAATACAGATAATGAAAGATTTGTTCTGATATCCTGTTTCATATCAGGGAGCCCCATGCAGGCTATTTTTTCAGCTTACCTGAGCTGATAGCTCAAATGATTTTATCTGATCACCCATTGTCTGTCATCTGTCTGTCTTCTCAAGAACCAATGTGCCAATTTTAACCAAACTTGTTACAAAGCATGTTTGGATGAAGAGGGGTTTAAATTATTAAAATGAAGGACCAAGTCCCCTTACAAAGGGGGATAATCAAGAAAGACAAAAATAGGGTGGGTTCATCAAAAAAATTTCCTTCTCAGAACCACGGGGCAAGAAATCTGAAACTTAAGTGGAAACGTTTTTTGGCAGCATAGATTCTAAATTATTCACATCATGATCCCCTGGGGATAGGATGGGGCCAAAATAAGGTATTCAATTTTTGCATTGAAATACATAGCAAAAATCTTTAAAAATCTTCCTCTCAAGAATCACTTGCCCAAAAAATCTGAAACTCATGTGGAAACGTCCTTGGGTAGTGTAGATTCTTAATTGTCCAAGTCATGACCCTTGGGATAGGATGGAATCACAATAGGTATTACAAGGAGGGAATATGGTAAAGCAGAGAATGGCTAAAGTTACATACGAGAGTGATGTGGCCCATGGACCTCTTGTTTAGGTTTTCTCAAGGATGAATGAAATGATTCTTAGGGATATGTTTGCCATGCTTTGCAAACAACACAAAATTGAAAGCATTCAATTCTATTGAACATTTAAAAATTTTTACATGTATTTGTATTTTTTAAGAAAATCTGTTTTCATTTTTTTTTTCTTAATTTGAGTTGAAACAATTCTTTTTTTTTTTTTGGTTGTTCACACTATAGTGTATAATAAAGAAGGAGTTGTTTATATTATATGGATGTCAAGAAATGACAAACAACTGATAATTAACTCCCACAAAACTTTTGTAAAACGTAAAAAATTTATGCCTGGTCTCTCACCTAACAAGTTCTTGCATATATGAATACAAAAATTAAATGACTTCAGAAATTTTAAGTGATATTGAATTTTAGGGGGTTAATATCTGAAACTCCCCTGCTTGTTTGATTCATTCAAATGGAAATAATATGTAAGGATTTTTTTGGCTTTATGATGAATTATAAGATATTGAATAAGTTGTTTTTCTATTAAATTGAATGTTCCTGAGAAAATTTATTCAATATGATAATGAATTATGGTCCAAAGTAAAGTGAATTTTTCTTCAATGCTGACATGTTTGTGGCACCATTCATTGGTATATATAGAGTACAATTATTCTTCTTTATAGTGCCTGAGGGTAGAAACTCCTGACATTCTTCATTTCCAAATCAGTGTTTCCATGGGAGAAGTTACGGATAAATAAGGGAATGTAAACAAAGTTGACCGAGGATTAAGTTTTGGTTTTAATGTATTTTCAGACTGCACTAGACTTGTCTGCTCCAGCGAGTGATGCGTTAGTGAAAAACAGAAAGAATGCCTGGATACAGCTAGCAGGTCACCCAGGTAACATTTCTGCATTTCAAGACGAATGTGCATTCAGGTTTTAATAATTCAATTAAATATTAACAAACTTAGCATTTCAGAACAATGTGCATTCAGGATTTATTTATTCATTTAAATGCAGAAGTAGGTCAACAACATATCAAAATATATCACATCTAGTGACACTGTCATTTTGTTATGCTTTCAGATGTCAATTTATATTCACAGCTAAATATTATTTAGCTACAATAGTGTACTATTATTTTATATACCAGGTACCTCATAATTTGATTTTAAAATGCTAGGCCACATTCCATTATTAATAGTTATCAAAACTTTGCTATATAAATATAATATTAGGCCAAAATAAAATTATAGTTTGTTTGGAATTACCTCCCGCCTCATTGAAATACCCCCTCCTGAATAAATTTTATTGACCTAAAGTAGGAAGATTTTTTTTTTTTTATTTAATCAATTTTTTCCCATTACATGTATCACATGCACCATATAAAACACTGAAATATAGATCTATGTAAAAATTATTAATTGTTTTCAGAAAATGTAACTTTACTAGAATCAAAGAAATATATTATTCAGGCGGCAATTCCAAACAAACATTTTTTTAAGGATGGCCTTATTTATAGTCATCAAAACTTTACTAAATAAATATATTATTATTTATAGTTATCAAAACTTTGCTAATATAATAAGGAAATCTAACTCTCATGGTCATCTTTTAAACTTTAAAATGTAAAATCCATTGAATGTCATTGGTTTTTGGAGCAATTTACATTTCCAAGTAACTACAGTGTAATTATGCCCAATATTGACCAAACTTGTATGGATAATGCACCTAAGAATGCACATAAGCAGGCATGCTTGGAATGGATGATCTGACCTATATTTTCTGGATGAGTGAACAGGTTAAAGTTCTTGAAACAGGTCCTCATTTCCAAGGCTAGCTGTATAAGGCTTATATTGTCCAAAACATGGATGATATATCTTCATGAAGACTCACACTGCAAGGATTGCCTCTGATGCTCGATCTGACCTAATTTTCAAGATGCGTGTTTAATAAAATGTTTTTAGATAGGTCCAGTTTCCTAATTAAATGCAAAGTCTGAGACCAAAATTGTAGAAATGTTGCATAGAGGGATGCACACTACTAGATTATCAGTTTACTGTGGGACTTTGCCTTACTTAGAAACAGCATTCTTTGAGTTGACCTCTTATTTGTCATGATCTGGTGTAAAGGTCCTTGTCAGTGAATGAGACAGTGAATTATTTTGCTTTAGGTGCCTTTGCTCCGGCAGGCCCCAGTACAATATGGAAGAGGAGGATCAACAGTAAAGACAGCACAGAGACAAAGGCTTACGAGACACTGATGAAGGATCCTGCTCACGACATTGTACCAGAGTTCTTCAGAGAGGTGGAATATAATGGAGAATGTATCCTTCACTGGTCAATCTTGCTAATTTGTAATTCTGATTCTCTGGTGCAACTCTTTTTAATGCCAAATCTTTATTTGATTCACACCGTGTACCAATAACCATAAATTGTTTTTGGTTATTTTTTAAGGATCATTATATTTATAAATTAAAATAGCATCTGATCTTCGACAAATACAAAACATTAGTGAAGATGGCCACACAGGTTTTGCAAAAATTGTTTACAAATGATAAATGATAAAGCCTTGGGCTTTTTGTCAAGAAGAAGATGAGAACAGCATCCCAGGGGTTGCAACTTTTTGGAAGTTTCAATCATTATGCTATTGGAAAATTCTATTATTTTCCTTAATTTTGTATAGATTTTATAGAAATAGAAGATCTTTTACAACATTTTAATAATCCAAATATTATGGATATAAAAATTGGAAAAAGGTAAGATTATAGTTAATTCCACTAAAAATGTCTCTAACTCTAGTAAGAAATAAAATACTCTGATTTCATTGACAGCTGGAATAAAAATTATTCAGAACATTTTATCCTTCAGAAGCACTTTTAATATAAGGATTAAAAAGCATTCTATTACAATGCAAATGTTGCTACATCAATCATAAAGTTTCACTTTTCACCCAAATGCAATCGTTTGAGGTATTAATTTTCATTAATTTTTCATTAAACATGTTCTGATACCTGGTAAATGATATTTTGATGTACATATTTTAGATAGACATTTTTCAGTAAAGTCATTTTTCAGCATACATCAGTCACATTATAACATACCTAATTCAGATTAAGATAAGTGAGAAATGATGGGCAATATCACTTTAAATGTATTAGTTTATATATGTACATACATTATTAAAAAAAAATGACACTGAAACATTATAAAACCTCTACATATTATTCATACGCATGTACATGTTTGATGGCATTATGACTTTTATGGACTCTGAAGCTTTATATATATACATTTTTATTTATTTATATTTACGTGATGACTGTTTATATCTACATTAGGACGTTTATGGAATCTGAAGTAAAGAATCCGGTCCTCCGTAAAGACTTGTACGACAAGATGGTTAAACTGTGTCCGGACGCCCCGACCCCCGAGGAACACAGCCAGCAGGCCATCACCAAACTCCGATATATGCAATTTAGGGAGGAGGAGAGTTCTACCGCAGATTACGGCTTCAGGATAGAGGCTATAAGGGTAGATAACTACATCACTATGTCATATAATAACAGGATAGAGGCTCTAAGGGTAGATAACTATATCACTATGTCATATAATAACAGGATAGAGGCTATAAGGGTAGATAACTACATCACTATGTCATATAATAACAGGATAGAGGCTATAAGGGTAGATAACTATATCACTATGTCATATAAGAACAGGATAGAGGCTATCAGGGTAGATAACTACATCACTATGTCATATAAGAACAGGATAGAGGCTATAAGGGTAGATAACTATATCACTATGTCATATAATAACAGGATAGAGGCTATAAGGGTAGATAACTACATCACTATGTCATATAATAACAGGATAGAGGCTATAAGGGTAGATAACTATATCACTATATAATATATTATTATGCTTCCTGTCAGTTTGTCTCTATATAACCCATACCCTACTATTCTCGCATAGTGGTCTAAGGATTTATATAGCGTAAGCATACTATGCCGAAATAGTGCACGGCCTTATTTTCTGAATAAAATTCTTCAATGCTCACACCGAGAATCGAACTGACGACCATGAGATTGCCAGTCCGATGCCTTATCGATTACGCCACAGAGACAATCACTGATTAGGAGAATTTTATTAAATATATAAACTTAATTTATACAATTGACACAAGAAGGAGAAAATAGACAAATATTATTTGAAAACAGTTATATTTATTCTAAGGAATCACAGATAGATGTGTACAACAAAGTTTCAAACTAATTACATACAGATCGTTAGATGAATTGATATCATGGGGTCATATATAACGCTTTTTTATATAGCGCTTGATTGAAGGATGTAAAAGAAAATTATCAATGAGAATCCAATCTGTAAACAAATCAGTCTTACTAACAAAACAGAAAATAAAGATGAGTATCTATAAGAAAATCCTGACTTATTATATAGAAAATACTAGTAACCTAAATAACTAAGCATGCAACTAATTTTATCATGAAGATTTTGAATGAGTTTTTGCAAGTGCGCTGTGTTATATACCATTATTTTCAGGAAAAAATCATATGGATTGCCGCATAAATAATAACAACAGTCAGCATAATAATACGACAAGATGGTTGCATTATGCATGTACTATGCCTAAATAGAGGAACACAGCCAGACAGGCCATGCACTCGCCTCCGATATATGCAATGATGTGGAAACCCTGCCTACGGCTTTAGGATAGCTACATGCATAATGCAACACTATTATATAAATAACAGTACTACTTCAGGATAGAGGCTATAAGGGTAGATAACTACATCACTATATAATAACAGGATAGAGGCGATAAGGGTAGATAACTACATCACTATATAATAACAGGATAGAGGCGATAAGGGTAGATAACTACATCACTATATAATAACAGGATAGAGGCTATAAGGGTAGATAACTACATCACTATATAATAACAGGATAGAGGCGATAAGGGTAGATAACTACATCACTATGTATATAATAACAGGATAGAGGCTGATAAGGGTAGATAACTACATCACTATATAATAACAGGATAGAGGCTATAAGGGTAGATAACTACATCACTATATAATAACAGGATAGAGGCTATAAGGGTAGATAACTACATCATTTTGTCATATAATAACAGGATAGAGGCGATAAGGGTAGATAACTACATCACTATGTCATATAATAACAGGATAGAGGCTATAAGGGTAGATAACTACATCACTATGTCACATAATAACAGGATAGAGGTTATAAGGGTAGATAACTACATCACTATATAATATAATAACAGGATAGAGGCTATAAGGGTAGATAACTACATCACTATGTATATAAGAACAGGATAGAGGCTATAAGGGTAGATAACTATATCATTTTGTCATATAATAACAGGATAGAGGCGATAATGGTCGATAACTAAAACAATATATAATAACAGGATAGAGGCTATAAGGTTAGATAACTATATCACTATATAATATAATAACAGGATAGAGGCTATAAGGGTAGATAACTACATCACTATGTCATATAAATAACAGGATAGAGGCTCTAAGGGTAGATAACTTTTTAAAGAATGGAATACACACCAGAATGCCAATCAATGAACATGTACATAATTTTGTATTATTTATTGGTTTAAGATATAAATTTATAGACATTGAATCCTACATTTTTATTAGCTTAAGTAAGTAATTACATGTAATTAATTATCAGTCTTTCTGCAAGGGAATAGAATGGTGTACAACAGTTCATAAGGCCATGAATAGGCATATATACTGCCAGTTACTGTAATTTTTTCAGATCCTTCATTAAACATCTATGCCTCTATGCACTCATGAAATAGATATTACTGTTTCTGAGTATATATATTACTGTTTCTGATAATTCTGTTGCCATGGATATTTCAATATTCCAGCATTGATTTCTCTCTACCTATATATACAATGCAAAAAAATTGTGCAAACAATTAGGAAGGAGAAATTGGATATGTGGAGAATAGTACAAAGAATTACACAGCAGTATCATTGATTTGACAGAGATCAGGTTAATAGCTGTGTAGGAGAATAGAATCTCCAAAGCCTATGTTATAGTGGTGTTATATATAGTAGCTTATTAAATGACAATTGCAATTACAGTTATTCTGAGCAACAACGGTGACTATTCTAAGGATATAAATATCATTAAAGCTAATGAAGCTCCAAGTAATTACCATATCCACATCTCAAGGACATTGCTCTATTCACAAGATGTTATGGAGTAAATGCTAGGGATGGAAATAAAATTTGAATGTGTATTTATAGTAATGTTAACTATCATGGTATTCTTCTCACTATCAGCTTACTAACAATGTAATAATAACATTATATAAAGACTATTGTACTAATACAATCAAACATACAATATTATAAATATTACACCAGTGGACATTTGGTTTTAAGTTTGAGCACTTTTTAGCTCAGCAGAGTGAAAGTCATATTTATATGGAAGCATTCTTGGTAGTGTAGATTCAAGTTTATTCAAATCATGCCCCCAAGGGTAGATTGGGACCTTGATGGGTAATTTAAGTTTTCAAAAAAAGAGCTTTCATGGGAAAAAAGAGTTTTCATGGGAATACATAGGTAAAATCTTCAATAATCTTCTGCCAAAAATCCAAAGAACAGAAGCATTCTCAGGTAGTGTAGATTCAAATTTGTTTAAATCATGTTCCCAGGGTTAAGTTGATCGATACTTGCATACAAAGTCATGTACACACTTGATTCCAATCTGCTTTTTCCTAGTTTGAGTGCTCAGGTTAGCAAAATGGCCCACGGGCCTCTCATATCAAGTTGGAATAGTACTGAATTTTATGTCTTTAAGGTCAGATATGTTTTTGTGTCTAATGAATTAATATTTCTAGCTCCTTAAAATGTTTTTTTTGTTTACAATGTTGTTAATGTGTCTTGCAGGTGTCGGGTGAACCTCCTACAACAAATTTAAAGAAAGTGAAAACGGTGGCACAAATAGAAAGTATTCTAACAAAATTCATACAGGGTCAAGATTCTGTGCGGTCCAAGTTTCATAGTAGACTAAAATACATCAAAGAGAAATTCGAATCATCTACATTTCTTATGTCTCACCAGGTAAGGAATTGAATTTCTTTTTTTTGTATTAGTATTTCAACATCTTGAGAATGTTTGCAATTGATTGGTAGCTAGAAAATAGCTATTACAAATGAAATAATGGTGATTAGAGAGGGCATTGTTTTACCATTATCATTATAAAGCTTATCAAAATATGAAGTTGTCTTGTGTCACAGGTAAAATCTATTAATACACTACTTTATTTGTTACAGATTATTGGAAGTTCTATTCTGTTTATGTTTGATGAGCACGGGAATACTGGGGCCTGGATGATTGACTTTACTAAGACTGTCCCTATCCCACAAGGCAAAACCCTGACACACAGGGAGGACTGGGTCCTGGGGAACTGTGAAGATGGCTACCTCTTTGGTGTGGACTCATTAATAAAGGTAATTTTTACAGGGCCTGACATATAATTATATAAGAGGAGGTTGTTGTATAAAATCGGCCTGTAAGTCAGCTGGTTTTTCAAGGTTAGTTTATATTAATTAACTTTAGGGATGATTCAAGGAAGGTGCCGATGTATATAGGAAGTCTTTCAGCATTACTATATGATAAGCAGCTCAAGGTTTTTGGCTCAATGAGGCCATAGGCTGCTGTGAATTGAAGTGATTGCGAACTTTCCATTAATTATATAACAACTTGGCCAATTTTAACCAGAATCACAAGAGACCATATTCTTTGATAAATTGATGGAAAAGAGTTTATACATTAATATATCCTCTTTGAAAGCTTTTTTGGATAGTTTTACACTGTACCTTTTTATTGTTAGATATTTGAAAACCTTGACTGCTGTAAGAGTTCCTCTAGGAATATTAACACACCTCACAACCAGGAGGATGGGTAATGATGGTTTGATGGTAGGGAATCCGCAATAAGCCCCCAACTCAAGAATCTCAAAGTGCATCTGGGACCACTAAAGGACAGAGGTCTAGGAGAGTTGCATGCTAGCAGTGTTCATGATAGGAGATATGGCAAGCCAGTGAAGACCTGTGTTTGTCATTAATCCTGACCAAAATTGGGATCAGATTTAAGTTTTATAACGTTGATTTTATAGATGCATTATCTGCAAATATCCAAATCAATATTGATATACAGTCAAGTATGACTTGAACAAGATATTAAATGTAAAAATAAAAAGTATCTCTATGATTTCACTTCACCCAAGTTAAAAGCTCACCCAAGTTAAAGGCTCAAGAAGCTTCCTGATTGGACGTTCAAACAGTATCCCTAATTTCTTCACTACTGGGTACATCCATTTAACAAACATCATCAAAACTTTTCGAAAATTTGAGATTTTTTTTTGTCGTGTAGATTGAAACTTTCATACCCCATCGGTAGGGTTTGTCCTTAAATCAGATTCAAACATTAAAGAAAAGGCTTTAAACTGACACATGTATTCTACAGAACACCAAAGCTACTACATACAGTATTAGTCAAATTAAGATACAATATAGAAGCATCCTCATAAAGTAAGATTAATAATCGCTCTATTCACTGTAAAATTTTCTTTTATGATAATTGTATTTTCATTCAGAAAACAAAATAAATAATTAAAAATTGTCCACAAGAACAGCATACTTTGATGTGCAGTAGTTGATTGAAATTGCTAATTAAAGTAAGAGTTTACCAAGGGAATAACAGAGTTACCTTTCTTGTCCTTGGGTCTTAAAACCTTAAGCAGTTGCCAATAGCAAAACTGCATTTGTCAGATTTTAAATTTATGCAAGCATTCTCATATTCCATTTGATAGAAATTACTCTCAATCCTCAGGAAGTCTTTTAGGCCCTAAGAAAACTTGGTTTTGAAAAATCATTTTTAAAAAGATACAGGCTTCTTAATGTATAGTTAGACAATAATTTTGCTCAATTGATATGTAAGTATTATATATAATTAAACTGAATATCAGTGTAGAGAACAATGTCTTTCTCTTAAGGCCATGATATTTATTTATGTTAGTTATTTGTGAGACACAGGCAAACAATGTGGCCCATGAACCTATTGTCTTAAGAACACAACCTATATTTAGACGGCGATTATAATGATTGTATGAAACTTTTTATGAGTGATATAGCATAGTTAAATTTTGTATAAATCTGTTTATATTTGTTTCATCTACCATGACAGTGACCTAATCGAATATTTATATAGGTCAAACTTTTTCAAAAGTGAAGTAAAAAAGGGTAGCAATTTTGCAAGTGTAATGTTTCAACACAGTTGCCTTTAAGGTATCAATGTTTAAAGTCTCAATATGCACTACTGATGTAGAACTTTTTTCTTGATTTTAAGGTATATTCTGTAGGCTTTATTGAACAATGACCACCAAATGGTCTGTATTATACATATTTGTGATATTACAATGTATTTTAATAAGTACTATGGAATCATTTTATCTGAGGGCAAATTTTAATGGACCGCTAAAATATTTTCAGTACCTCAGGATAAAGAATTTAATATTAAAAACCTAGATTGAGGAAGCACTAAACTGCTCAAGGAAAAGTTCTAGTATCAGGGTAGTTTTAGGCTGTTGTGGTGATTAGCTCTTTTATGTAAAATAAATTACCCTGGTACATAGAAATCTACAGTTAATGAAATTCAAAAGAACAATTTTCTCATTGTCCTAAGAACTTTTTTTCATTAGTGGTTAGAGCTTCCTTAGAAATCAATATTCCTGGAGACAGTTTATTAGATTTTTGAAATTTGACCTTTTATGACACTAATAATTCCACAGTACATCTTTTATACTTTTTTCTACCAGTATATTAAACCGTAATGATATTTGCATTCAGTAAGTGTGCTGAACAGTTAATGATACTCTGTGTATAAGTCAGTATCTTGAAATGCAGGTTACTGGCCTGTAATGTAAACCAACTTTTTATTCGTCTATGAGAAATATTCATGATTTTAGCAATCTTTTTAAAACTTACAAATATTTTTCTCTACAAACCAATTGTGTGTTTATGCTCAACACACAAGTAAATTTTGTTTCCTTAGATGCAGTCGTGGATTGGTTTCAAACTGACCAATCACCAATAAAAGATGCCATGAATGAAATTTAAAAAGTTTACAGTAAATTTTAATATGAAGATGGCTTTAAATGTTACATTTCTTGTTCAACATTAAGGTCTTGCATATGTGTCGTATTCAATACATTTGTATGCATATAAAATTATAAATATTGTTGCAGTGCATTTTTTAATGAACAAATTGTGCTGAATGTGCATTACTTAAAATAAATATTTACCAAAAAAATTAAATAGTTTGTTTAAAACAAGAGGCCCATGGCCATTTTTGTTTAAAACAAGAGGCCCATGGGCCACATCGCTCACCTGAGCACTGTGGCTAGGAAAAAGTAGAAATTGGTTTATTATTGAAAAGTTTAAATCCAAAAGTAGATCCATGACAAATCATGGCTTTGCTATATTCTTGAGAAGAAGATTTTAAAAGAATTTTCCTATATATTTCTATGTAAAACTTTGGTCGGCCATTGTGGCCCCGCCCTACCCCCGGGGGTCATGATTTGAACAAATTTGAATCTACACTACCCGAGGATGCTTCCATATAAATATGATCAATTATGGCTTTGCTATTCTTGAGAAGAAGATTTTTAAAGAATTTTCCTATATATTTCTAATGTAAAACTTTGGTCGGCCATTGTGGCCCCGCCCTACCCCCGGGGGTCATGATTAGAACAAATTTGAATCTACACTACCCGAGGATGCTTCCATATAAATATGATCAATAGACCCTTTTCCTATGGCATATTTTCCTTAGGAGTTATTCCCCTTAGCCGCCATCTTGTAGGGCAAAGTAGTGAATTTACCTCTGAGCAACCAATTTTAAACATGCATGCAAGAAATATTTACAATCTTAAAATTATGAATTAATAGAGGATTTGACAAACATATATTCATAAGAAAAATAGTGTTATCTTTACCTCAGTAACCAGTATAACACATTGAACTTGGTTGAATAATGGAGGGATCTGAATATGTTGCCCTACAATATGGCGGCCAAGGGGAATAACTCCTAGACAAAATATGTCATAGGAAAATGGTCTATTATGGCTATGCTATTCTTGAGAAGAAGAATTTTAAAGAATTTTCCTAAATATTTCTATGTAAAACTTTGGTCGGCCATTGTGGCCCCGCCCTACCCCCCGGGGGTCATGATTTGAACAAACTTGAATCTACACTACTTGAGGATGTTTCCTCATAAGTTTCATCTTTCCTGGCACAGTGATTCTTGAGACTCAGGTGACCTATTGCTATCTGTTTTCGTCCATCGTCGTCCGTCGTGCGTCGTGTGTTAACATTTGAACATTTTCAGCTTCTTCTCTGCAACCACTGAACCAATTTCAACCAAATTTGGCACAAAGCATCTATGGGTGAAGGGAAACAAAATTTGTGAATTTCATGATCCCTGCCCCCCTGGGGCCTGAGGGGTGGGGGCAAAACCACTAAAATTAATGCAATCTTTAAAAATCTTCTTCTTTACTCCTGGACATCAAGCAGTCAAACTATTTGCATGATTGTAATCAGCACTGAGTCCTCTACCAAAATTGTGAAATTCATGGCCCTGGGGTCAGGGGTTCTAGTGCTAGGGTGGGGCTAAATAAGTATATAGTGAAAATGCATTATTTCTTTGAAAATCTTCTTCTCTGCTCCTGAGTATTAAATAAACCAACTAAGTACATAGTATGATGAGCAAGAGTGCCTCTACCAAAATTGTGAATTTTATGGCCCCAGGGTCAGGGGTTCTGGTGTTAGGGTGGGGCTCTATTTGAAAATCTTCTTCTCTGCTCTTAGATATTAAATAAACTAACTAAGTGCATAGTTATGATGAGCAAGAGTGCCTCAACCAAAATTGTGAATTTTATGGCCCCAGGGTCAATGGTTCTGGTGTTGGGGGGTGGGGCTCTATTGATTATATAGTGAAAATACATGATTTCTTTGAAAATCTTCTTCTCTGCTCCTAGATATTTAATAAACTAACTAAGTGCATAGTTATGATGAGCAAGAGTGCCTCAACCAAAATTGTGAATTTTATGGCCCCAGGGTCAATGGTTCTGGTGTTGGGGGTGGGGCTCTATTGATTATATAGTGAAAATACATGATTTCTTTGAAAATCTTCTTCTCTGCTCCTAGATATTAAATAAACTAACTAAGTGCATAGTTATAATGAGCAAGAGTGCCTCAACCAAAATTGTGAATTTTATGGCCCCATCGTCAAGGGTTCTGGTGTTGGGGGGGGGGGGGGCTCTATTGATTATATAGTGAAAATACATGATTTCTTTGAAAATCTTCTTCCCTGTTCCTAGGTATTAAATAAACTAACTACGTGCATAGTTATGATGAGCAAGAGTGCCTCAACCAAAATTGTGAATTTTATGGTCCCAGGGTCAGGGGTTCTGGTGTTAGGGCGGGGCTCTATAGATTATATAATAAAAATACATGAATTTTTTGAAAATCTTCTTTTCTGCTCCTAGGAATTAAATAAACTAACTAAGTACATAGTTATGATGAGCAAGAATGCCTCTTGTAAAATTATGAATTTTATGGCCCCAGGGTCTGGGGTTCTGGTGTTAGGGTGGGGCTCTATTGATTTTATAGTGAAAATACATTAAATCTTTGATAATTTTCTTCTCTGTCTCTGGGTATGAAGCAGATGAACTACCTATATAGTTATGATGAGCAAGGGCCCTACTGCAGAATTGTGAATTTCAAGGCCCCAGGGTCAGGGGTGGGGGGGGGGGGCTCTACTTATATACTGAAAATGAATTAATTGTTTGAAATATGCTCCTTTGTATTTATAAAACATTTATTTATTTTTTGATAGGCAATTTTAAGGGTGCCTTTTAAAAATTTGTGCAATGTGTGGACCTAATATATGTCAGGGGTTTATGTCACATTGTTAGGGGCACTACTGATTATTGCTGAATATTACTGATTAGTTGGAGTGCATTTTTGTTCCCCTACCCTGCATATGAGTATTCAGTAACCAAGCTAAGCAACTGCTAAGTGTAGTTATGATGATCAGTGGTGCCTCTTTCAAAATTGTGAATGCCATATAGCATCTGGCTTAAAACATGAATCAAATTCAATACACTGTAACTGGGAAGTTGTTGCATAATGCTCAGGTGACCTATAAGGCCCGTGGGCCTCTTGTTAAAACATACACTAAATTTTTATTAATTCCCAATTATCTCCCCTTGTATGAGGGTGTGGCCCTTCATTTGAACAAATTTGAATCCCCTTCACCAAAGGATGCTTTGTGGCAAGTTTGGTTGAAATTGGCCAAGCGGTTCTTGAGAAGAAGTCGAAAATGTGAAAAGTTTACAGACAGACAGATGGACGCCGGACAAAATGTGATCAGAAAAGCTCACTTGAGCCTTCGGATCAGGTGAGCTTATAAAAAGTTAATATGGTCTGACTTTTTCAACAAAATTGTTTTTAATACATTGGTACTAATGTTTGTGAAGATTTGACAATACATGTATTGTAGAAAAAAAATGGAAAGGGTGGGGGGGGGGTAACCAGCCTTTCAATGAACATTTCATACCAGATTGACACTACATGTAGTACTTAACATTACCCCAACCCATCCCCCTCCTTTTGGGATTGTAAATGCAATTTGATGCCTTTACGAGTTTTACACATGTATGGAAGCAGTCAGTACATGGACATGAGAACACCACTTTGAACCCCTCCCCCCTCCACACACACACAAAAAAAATAATCTTAGAGGTGCTGTGAGCACTGAGCTCACTAAATAATACCCCTGCCTCCCATATGATAATAATGGCAAAGTTCATGTTTTGCACAGGGAGATCCAAATTAATTGTCTGATCAAAAAGTAAAATAGGAGATGCACAATGGCATTATGTAATAAAGAATCTATGAAAGTATCATTAAATTTTATTCAGTGGTATAGGAGGAGTTGTGGACAAGAGATGGATACCCTTCAATATTATAGAGAGGATGGCAGTGTCAATGTTTTGTATGGGAAACCCAAATATGTGTCGGATCAAAAAGAATAGAGGGTGCACAATGGCACTATGTAACCTAGATTCTGTGAAAGTCTAATTACTATCAATTTCAGTTCAGTGTGAAGTTTTGCATTATACGTCACAATCTTTTTCGACAGATGCATCCAACGTAAACAATGTGATTGGTCAACTCATATTATCAACATTGACACAGAAATAGTCTGTTGTATGAGCAACCAATCAGCGATTAGAAGAAAGTTCCAGTTGTAAAGCTTGCGGTTAGCACGTGTGTACTATTTACATTGAGCACAGCTGTCAAACTAGATCGACACACTTAACAGCAATCTATAGTAAATTTCATTCTGAGGTATTAGCGGATTTGCAGTCAAGAGATGAGTCCCAAAAGCATAATGGAAGGACAGACAAATATATGGACGGACATACCAATCACTATATACCCACCCATTTTTAAGCAGGGGGTATAACAATACCTAGAGTTTCTTCTTTGAAACTTAGCTAAATGCATGATGTGACTTTATCGATTGTATAGTAAATTGCATCACTTCTTTGAAAATCTATGTTCCTGAGTATCAACCAGACAAATAAGCCTCAGGCTGGTTAAGATGAGTACCTGTGCTAATTCTTGGCCCTGGTTTAGGGTTCAGTGATATATTTGATGTGGCTCTATTATGATCATGTATGAGAATATATTTACTCTACTTTGGAGAAGTTGTTAACTTACACGAAAGAAAATGTGAAAAAGAATACAACTCCATGTCTTTCTTGAAATTCTGACACACAACCACTCAACAAATCACAACTGATATCTCAAGAAATTTTATTTCTTTTCCAATATTTGGTTTTATATCATGTTCAAGCTTTAAAAAAAATGGCAGAAAGATATCATACATCTCACATTGATGCATACAACCATACAAATAAATATGATTTCCATGCAACATTCACTTGTGCAACAATTAAATACATATAATAGATAATGTAGTGTGTCATAAAAATAGGTACTTGTGACAAATGATAAGGAATTCATGTAAAATCAATAAAGAAAAAGTGCTTATGATAAATATAAGAATAAACTGAGCTAAAAATCTACCATAAAGTACAAAGAAACAGTGATTCATATATATCTAATATTGCTGCCCAATTCATTTGGTATAAAATAAAACAAGATTGCCAATAAAGAAAAAAGGGATAAATACATTAAAACAATTGAAAAAGTGTATAGTAAAACCTTGATGCCTCAAACTCCATGGGACAAAATGTCTAGATATTGAGAGTTCAGGATATCAAAGTAAGGACTTGCATTCATAACACAGTAACCTATAGACTGACTTATACTTGTGACTTGCATGTGTTGCATCATGTATTAAGATAGCCAAACTTCATTGTTATACATTGTATGTGTATATGTCAACCAATGGAGAAAACTACATTGATGAAATTTCAGGTAATCAAAAATATCAAGGAAGAATGTTTTCAAAGCTTTTTAGAAATTTACTAATTTTTCAAAAATTGATTTCTATTAGTAAATATTTTCAAAGGTAATCTCAAAGAAAAAATTTAACAATTCAAAGAAATCTATATAATTTAAAAGCTTTTGTCATGATATGTCTCACCATTTACAACAACAATCAATGGAATTCATCCTGTAACTGGTTCCTTGAACCAAATATAACAATTATCGTGAAAAACAGAAAAAACAACAGACCAACAGGTGCACGTAAAAATCGGTCATGAACATCACGCTAGTGTGCAATAAAAAAAACAAAAAGTTGGAATAAAAAGTTATCATAAATACCCATATCTTGTACAGCCACGACGGCTAACATTTCCGAGATCAAAAATTTAAAATATCCACTTACACATGCATGCATACAGCTTTTTAAAGCACTCACAAATCATTAACAAAATATCATTGAACACTGTAAGCTATACCTAAAAACATAGAAATGTAAATTTTATGAAAGCGCAGAATGCTTTCAAGTTAAGTAGACATTAATGAAGATATGATTTTTCTTGTTTTAGAAACAGTTAAATATTTACATCATAATTGGAATGGGATGTATACAAATTTACAGCATATCACTATCCATCGCCAGACGTGTTTGTTGAGAGATTTCTTGTTGCTTTCGACGAAACTGATGAAATTCTTGACGCAGCTTCTCAAACCTAGCCTCTGAATCGTCATACTGACTCTCGACTCTCGGTTTCGGATACAGATTATCATAAAAGTCAGAAGTATTGAGGCCGCTTTCAATAGCCATCCTAAGATCTTCACTCTGATTGGCTAGTGGATAGCTGCGGAGGGTGTTGATGAGATCAGCCTCCAAGGCTTGTAGTGAGTCAAACTCATAATTATCATCGGCAGATGTATCCTTCTGAAGGCTTCCCGTGGCGTCAAGGAATGGAGAGGAATCCTGGCTGAGGTCATGTTCCTGTGGTGAAGCGTAGGAACTGAGGGAGTTTCGAGGAATGCGGGAATGTTGAGAGGATCCAGTTGCTTGTGACGTGTTTCGACTTCCCCTCCCACTGCTGAGGGAATCTGGTGTTAGATCTTCTGGAGCATAGGACCGAGGTTCTGTTGGATAACGATGCCTTGCTCCGAGACTTCCCCGACCAGAACTGTTCACGCTTGATCGACTTCCCCTCTCACCTTTATAAGGAGCTATTTCATGTGAGTATCTCTGTCTTGAGTGATCATCATATTGACTGTTCCCTATCCCTGGGGTAAAACTGAGATTTGGAACAACTTGTGGAGAATATGAGTATGGGAAATTAGTTTCCTGTGATGGAAGACGCCCTGCAGACTTGGATCTCCGAGCTCTTGGACCTTTCCGAATTTTCTCAACAGCTCCTTGGAGTTGGTCCCTCGTATACTGTGAAGGACCAAAGGAGAAGTCATTTTTGGGAGATCTTTTGGTTGGGGATATGTGTCTTACTGTAGTATCCTCTGGGTAGTCATACGAATCAGATAAAAAGGAATGTCTCGTATCATCATAAGCGTGATCACTTGAACGTGACCTGAGTCTATTATCACTTTCTCTTCTCTTTGGTCTTGAATATCTTTCACTTGTGGATAATGGGTAATTGTTTATTTCAGCACCACTCCAATTTGGTTGTTCTAGCAAAGTTCTAGAATTTGTGTCCTTGTAAGGAGAGTAAGCAAATCTGTCTCTGGTACCACTGAAAGATTCGTTGAAAGATGGCATCACAGAAGAAATATCCTCGGCACCGAATGGTTGGGTGAATCCTCCATCATCCTCTACAGGGTCCCCAGTAAGGTAGGTCTGGTAAGAGGGCTTCATGGAGCTGTGTCGAGGCAGTGAATGTCTCCCCGGAAAGTCTTGAGTAGGAGGTAGGAACACATCATCAGCAAAAGAAGAATTCACATTTTCATAAAGTGGGTCATACATAGAAATGGATCTTCCAGAGGCAATTCTCTGGTACTCTTTTGGAAGGGGAGGTCTCTTTGGTACAAAGCCGTTTTCATCATCATCGTCCACATAACTTCCGTGATAGCCTGATGAATGAGGATGAGAATGAAATGAAGTGTCTGGAACTCTTTGTTCACTGGAATGAGGCGATGGCACATTTACATATGTATGATCATCTCCATCCGGAGACTGAAAACTAGAGTCATAATCACTATAGTAACCAGAATAAAGCGGGTATTTCCCTTTGGCCGGATTTTTCCACACATTGTGTGAAGTGTTTCTAGAGTCAAGCTTTGACCTGTCAAGGTCATCATCAAGCCCCTCCCAGTCTCCAGGGTCATGACCTGCAGAACTGGGCAACAGGTACCCTTTATCGGAGTTATACATGTACTGATGAGGGTCGTAAAGCATGGATTCTGCCATGTAAACCTGTGGAACCACGCCCTGGTCTCTATGGATCTCCTGGGTGTCGGGCAAGATGTAAATTCCGTTGGCAAGGGGGATCCGCCTCAGAGAGTTAGCTCCTCCTCCTCCTGATGACGATGGTGGTGGTGACCGCCCACCACTCCATTCTGATGGATTTTCACTGCAAAACAGAAACCATTGTCAGAAATTCCTTTATCTTTACTCAAACCATTCTCATTTATCTTTAAACTTTGTTGGAGCAAATTGTAAATATGTAGTTAAATACTGTGAAATTTAATCTTCATTATTACAGTTCTAAAATTGGCTTTACAGAATATAATTTTTAATCAAAATACATGTAACTTTTGTCATTCTGTCACCAAAACCAATAAATGTGGCATTGTAAATATAAAAAGAAATGCAGTTTGAAGCCATGCACTTTTCACTAACAAAATACTTCAACTTATTTTTCATTCTTTACAAATTGAAATTAAAATCCTTCTTGCACTTTTCCAATCAAATGTAAGCAAAAAATATCCTTGCAAATAAAACTGCAAAATTAAAATGCAAATCAATTTTCTTCCATAAGATTTTTTAAAAAAAGAAAACATTAGGAAGCTTTACCAAAAACAAATTAGACAGACACAAAATCAATACAAGACTTCACAATGATTTTCAAGGATAATAATAAAAAAAAAAATGAAAAAAAAGAAGACAATATTGTAACATGCAGGACTGAGTAGCAGGGGACCCAGGGATAATGAAGATCTACTAAACCTTTCTTCTCTCTCCTGTGCTCGCATTAACAAAGGAAACCTGAATTATTGCAGGTTCTTACTAAGACACTTGTTTAAGAGACTCTGATTTACAATCTGAATTATTGCAGCTTCTTCTTACAGTTACTCTTAAGGACTTGTCTAGGAAATGTATACAAAAACTGTAGTCATAGAATACAGCATGACATAACCATTGTTTTTTGTCACTTGACTTTGCTTTGTGAGGCTATTAAATCTCTCTTGTAACTTCCAATTTCAGTAATATATTGCTTGGCACTGAAACCCTTCCATATTGAATCTCAGTTTACAACCAACAGGCAGTGATTTATATGTTGTATTTCATGTTGAACACTCTTTCATTAAAGAGATTGACTGAAGTACGTTATCAAAAAAAAACACTCGATTTTTCAACTTTGTTCACCTTGGAATGAAATGAAAAATTTGTTTTGATGTTAATCTGAGCATTCAGTTTATTCTATCCATTAATAAGAACTGATTTTTTAATTCTAATTAATCTTCATGAGAAAGATTTCTTACCCTCTGTAATATGGTCGTGTGTCTAGTTCATCTGCAGGTCCAATATATTTAACGTTTCCTAAAATTAAAATGACTGATAGATTATTGAATGTCACCTGAGTCACAAAAAACAAATTTTGATTAGAAAAGCTCAGGCTTGGGTAAGCTATGTAAAGACGGATAATTTTTCCCCAATAACATTCCTCATAAAATCTTATTTTCAATAATGTGTAGTCATGTATTTTGTTTCACATGATCCTCAACTTACTTGAAATTCTTATTTTGTCCTTCAAAATTACAAGAAAAATTCTAATTTGTAGGCTGAGGTCATATTTCATTTGCTATTTGTAATATTTCCTTGGTTTTCATAAAGAATATATCTTCAAGCAAACTCTTCTGTCTTGAAGTCCAAAAGAAAACAAACTGACAGGAAAGCTAACTAAGCATTGTATAAAAGAATATTTACTGTCAGAAGTCATGAAAAGCTACTGAAGCACAAAAATCCAAATAGACTTTTTGTGAATCTTACGGACTTAATTTATTTTATTCACTGTACTGGTTCACTGTGTTATAATAATTATAGTTGCAATATGATTTATTTGGGGTAATGACCCACTTACCAAACTTGTCCGGCTTCTGCCTTCTCCTGTTACAGATGATCCCCACCACTGCTAGGAGAACAGTGATCAGAAGAAACAACAGAGCTCCCACAATCCCCCCTATCTCAGCCTGCGAGAGGAAGAAGTCCGACTCTGTAAAAATTACAAACAGGTGCTCTTACTCTCATGTTAGTTCTGATTACTGAAGACAAAGTCTGCCCAGCTTTTATTACTGTCCTTTTATGACACAATTCATTTCGTCTCAGACATGACTGTAGGAATTTTTCTTTACAGGTATTTAAATCACACTGCACTAATTAGTTAAGAGGTGTTGAAATCAACAAGAGTGATACAACTTTGGTGACACATGAATAAGAATTGTTCTAACTTTTCTAGCCACTACTTATAAAGGTGTCAACCATGAACAATTTTCCAATTAAATATGGCTGTGAAGATAGAAATATTAAGGCAAATGTCTTGAAATATTAAAACTTAGTTTAACTTAAATAAAACAGAAAATACAATTTTTACGATAATATCTAGAGCTAACACATTGCTTAAACTTTGCAAATGAATTTTAAAGACTTTAATAATAATCAACACATTTAGAAAAATATACACTAAAACACAATTGAATCTAATTAACAACAAAAATTCCACCCTTTCTTCCCACACAATGTGCACACCTGCATATAAATCAAGTCAGTTACACACTCCAGCACATGTACACCCAAGTTTTATTAAGTTTTCTAACCCCATTTCATAAGTATACCTTCCTGTATTAGAGCTGATTAAATATTATATCTTTGTGTTGCATTAAAAAATCATTAATTATTACTGATGAAATAAAAATTGTTTAGATTTAATTATCAACAAATTATGTTCAGGAAAAAAATTAAACTGTTAGTTGGCATTGATGTCATTAATAGTAATATATTGTTTTAAAATGAAGTTTATTGAATTAAATGATGATTACCTCCTAACGTATTATTTCCGTCATATTTCACATAAAATACAATTAGAATAACTCTGCTTATAACTGTGATATGGGTGATTAAATAAATACCATATACTTACCAGTGGGTGCACTATATACAGATACAATTACATACAAAGAGTTAATACCAAATACCTAGTAAATCTGACAATCCCTTTCCCAAAGAATGACTGCGATGAAAAACAACCTTTCCTTAGCTCTTGACTATAATCTCTTACACAATTACAAGTTATAGAATGGAAGTACTAAATCAGCAGATTATCAGGGATTTAAAAATTACTAATATGCTTAACTTTTATTCTCCCCTTAAGACATTGTGACTTTATAAATTTAGCAGATAGCTAGAAATAAATAAAATTAAACTGTCTAACTGAAAATGACAGTAAATTACTCAAATAAAACATTAAATTTTTCTTATTAACATTCATTCTACACATTGAAGGGTGCAGAAAAAGTTGCAGAAATGAAATGTTTGCTATGAAAATACAGGTTGGAAATAAATAAATGAAGCGAATAAGTGAGGTTTGTTATCCAGGCAGGCCGATGAGAAATAGCAAGGCTATACCGTGTTTTGATTGGGGAGATATTGTGGTCAACCGCTCAGTGGAAAGGCTAACATATTGTCCACTCTGTCCAAAAACTAAAACAGCAAAGGGAGATAAGTCACACAGTTAGAGGCTTCACGCATGGAAACAAATCGTAACACATTTAGAGGCTACAGGAAGATTATAAACTCACAGCTACTCAGAGCTCAGTGAACACATTTAATACATCAACATATCATGCTACATTGCTAGGTTGTTTATTTTTCAGAAGCTACAAGAATCACTACTGCTACTAGAACTCAGCCCTAAACTTTATACAGTTTTCAGAACTAGGTTATAAACAACGAATAAATTTAAATTTAAGAAGCCATTTTCATCGAGACAGTTTCTACTAAATTAACCTACTCTCTGCTGGTGGAGTCCTGACCCTGGCGACCTCACTGGGGACACTGTACGCGGTCAGCGAGTATGAGTACACTCGGAAGTAGTACTCGACGTTTGGGAGAGCCTCTCGCCAGATAAAGAATGTATAAGGCACTTTGATTCTCTCATCAAAGGATTCCCACTTCTGACCATCTCTTGACCTCTCTGCTACGTAGTAATACAGGGTCATGTTGGTATGAGGGGGCAGCCACAGGATCCGAATGACAGAGTCCTCGATCCTTGCCGTCACATTCCTAGGGGGTGGAGGTCTAGCACCTAAAACACAAGTTTATATTTACATTCAGGTAAACTAGACAAGTTATAAAAGCTTTCCTTGCAGACATTTTATGGAGGCTTGTTAACTCACCAATACTTTTATTAATTATAGGATAGTAGGTCCGCCCGGAGGAATCTGTGGGCAGGGCAGTGGGTAGTCTGGCCTCATCACCTACAACACGAGAGTGAAATATAACAGCTGCTCGATAAATACATCAAATCAATCACAGTACACATACCTAAACATACATGTATATACAACATTTGGCTAACAATGCTTTGTAGGAATCAGAAAGCTTATAGCCATGCAAAAGGTCCATCTACAGTCAAACTCAAAACTGAGTTTAAACATATCTTACAAACTGGTAATATCAGTTTCTGCCTGTTGAGTGCATGATGACAGTTTTTCTCCAATATCTTTTTTTCTTTTTTAAGTACAGTATATATGTACCATATACAAAAAAGAAATTTCATCTAATGTATTTTCATGGAAAAATAACGTGTGAAAAATTTATCTTTAAAACATTTGGCAATTTAGTATGCAAATTAAATATATATATTCTGCAAAGTAATGTTAGATCATTGTAAAATTGAACATGCATGAGATTAAATCCAAAAGAGAAAAAAAACAACAAGCCATATACCTTTTTTGTTTTAAGACAGGGACAACACAAAAACAACAAACAGCATTTATCTATGCATGTTGTCAGACAGAACAACAAAGACAAAACAACATGACATTCAAATTTACATAAAAAGTTCAATGAGATGAATTTCAACTTTTAAACAAAATATTCAGCTCAATAAAGTAGCTCTGTAGCTCATTATCAAATTTAGCTTTCAAGTTTTAGGTAACAAATATACAGAGAGAGACGGCACGGAGAACACAAGTTTTTACAGACAGGACGCAAGATACACGGTGTTGGTCAAGAACTGTCAACAAAACTACAAAAGTGAGGGTTAGAAAAGGTGTGCAAGTGATTGACCAGATAAAAATGTACCAGGTGATCTTGGTGTGGTTTTGGTAGTGTTTCCTGTTAGCATGTAAAGTCAGCAAAAAGTACAAGCTTATAGCTGATTGGTTACATTTCCTCAAACACATTACAAAAAAGTAAGCTTAAAGCTGATTGGTTATATTTCATCAAACACATTACAATTTTAAAACATGTAAAATGGTTTTTGGTGTGATATAAATAAAAGCTGGAAAAAATGACAGTGGTTTTATGTTAGCAAATCTGGTGAAAAAGCCGTAATATGAAAACAATATAAATTCATAATGCAACTTTGTATTCATTCCTATTGTTTACATTTTAACAAAACAATCCTTAGCTGAAGGAAGTCAATACTTTACAAACCTCCAAAATTATTTCTAATTCAAGAGCTGAATTTACTTTGTATTTTTGTAAAATAGAGCTCTAATGATTAAAAGGATGATGTTGGAATTTGCTGCTGAACTGTGGACTGACCTTTAGTTTTAGCCTGCATGATTTCACTGAAGTTTCCTGATCCCAGGCTATTTCTGGAGAGGACCTTGAACTCGTACAATGTGTCGGGGGTCAGTCCGTAGACCGTGAAGACAGTGGCTGATTTAGGGATGACCTGCATTGTGGACCACTGGGCCACTTGTCCATTTAAACTACGGTACCTACAAATACAACAAAATTAATGTTTCTAGTAAATGTAAATCAAAACCATCTTTCACTCAGTACAACTCTGATTTATAAAAGTGAAAATTATGGATTAATTTAACAACCACCTAAAATTTCTATTCATTCTTAAATTAAAATTGAATTCAATTCAGTGCTATATACATGTAAGTATTACCATATCATGAAAAACTGGTCATTGCCTCCATTGTATGCTGGAATCCAACTAATCCTAGCACTGAACCAATCAGGAATGACCGTTACATTGTATGGAGCATGTGGGGTGGTCACTGGAACAGCAAGGACAATATATTTTTAGTCTTTTGACATAAAATAATTTTTTATAAATATATTATTGTAGTACTTATTAAAAATGCATGTCAAAGAAAACATACATAAAATATTTACCCTAGATTTCAATTAAGATTTGAAAATGAGAAAATATTCGTCAATATGTAGCAGTAAGGACCTACTTTGTATGATAAGGTCTGTGCCTACTACGATTGTTTTGACATCATTTTCAGCCTGACATTCGTATCTTCCATGGTCCTCTTTTTGAAGTGATCTGATTGTTAAATTCCCACCTTCTAGCTTGACACGCCCACTCTTTGACAAGTCTAACACACCTGTCACCTAAAGGAGCGAAAACAGATGTAAGGTGTAACTGAAACAATGAGAAAAAGTGATTGTTTGGTATTTGTGGCAAAATTGTTCGGGAATCAATCTTTGTTTTCTCACATTTAAAAATAGAGTGTCAATAGTAAATGAATGTAATTTAAAATGAAATGCATTAATCAAAGCAGGAAAGCACAAAATGTGCTTTTATTCAATGAAAGAAGGTACATTGAAGTTTTTCATTTACATGAACTTAATCTATTTGTGTTTCGAATATCAAAATATTCAAATATCAAAATCTATTTTTTTTTCTGAAGACCTTGACCTTTTGATCAGGACATTGATAGGCTTTATACCCTTTATAAAACAAGATCAGAAAAAAAGAACAATTAATTAACTGTTTGTTCCTATGCTGAATAACTTTCTTGTTGCCAATCCACGATAAACAGATGTTGGAAAATTAAAGTGAATCAAATCAGTTCCACTTTTGGTAATATTTGTTAGGAGTATGACATATATTCAGACCAGGAGCACAATATCCACAAATCCTCTAAACTTTTAACTCATCCAGAATGTTTTTTTTAAATTTGCCCTGTAAGACTAGTACTGACTGACCTTCCTCCACTGTATGACTGGGGTAGGCTTCCCTGTGGCTCCACAAATCATCGTCACATCCTGCCCTGGAATTCTGAGGTACTGAGGTTCTGGACGGAAGCTAAACTTTGGGGGGTCTGCAACAGTCACAGAAGAAAATCAGGTCTAAAGCATGGTTTTCATTGAGGTAAATTTACATGTTATCTTCCAATGATATGTTGTTACCTTGCACAATGACCTGTACAAGAGGAGAGGATGGGCCGTTTCCGATGGAGCTGACTGGCATACAGCTGTATGCCCCGGCATCTGTGTGCTGGACTTGCTTGACCAGTAGTGACCCATTAGGGAGGAGGGTGATGTGATCAGAACTGAAGGACACAAGGTAGGTGTTCTTCTTCCAGCTGAACTCCCTGACCGGGGGGTTGGCATCTACAGGACAGTCCAGGTGCTCCTCATATCCCAGGGCCCATGTTACCTGTGCAGGCATCAGGTCCACCAAAATTTTGGGAGCATCTGGAAATTGTAATAAAATTTCATTTTTGCTGAAGTTCAAAAACCTTTCTGATTGAATTACACCACTGACTCAGAGGTAGTTTTGACAATAAGAACACACAGAAATTTCCTAATATTTAAAATCAATCTTTCTCTAAAACTTTTAATTATTACGTAATTTTAAAGATTCAAAACAATTGAAAATTGCTTGAGATCTGTCAAGCTTACACGTGACATTGAGGAATGCTGAGGCCTCTGGATCTTCCCCCACACCGTTGCTAGGACGACAGGTGTACCAGCCCATATCCTTTTTGTACACTGGTGAAATGACCAGTTTACCATCTGGGTACACCGATAATCGACTGTCATTGTAAGTCAGAACATTACGACTCTTAAAATACCACCGGTACGTGATGTTGTTTGGGAATGCTGCAGCACCACACGAAAACTGAATCTTTTGTCCCTCTAAGGTCGTCCGATTTGACGGAGCATTTAAAATGTATGCAGCACCTACAGAAACAACAGAAATGTATCAAGAGATGTCTTATGTGTATGAGCATGTAAATGTATGCAACAATTATAAAATGACAGAAATATATTTAATTTTTGCTTCAAACTTAACATATTATATGCTAGAAGAGATGAAAATATTTACCAACATGGCTATCATATAATAGAACCTGGGAGAGAATGTCTTAGAGATAGCAATGGGAAATGTGTGACTACAGCTTCATGTGCCTAATTAACAAATATTTTGATAAATCACACACTAAGTTCTACACAAGAATCTCATATAAAATTGTACCTGGAGATAAGTGGCATTTCTCTAACAACAAAGTCATTTATTATTGGACTATGATATATTCGGTATGGGGTCTCCTTTGTAGCATTATCATTCTACATCAGGGAAAAGACACACACCCTCTAATAATACAGACTCATCAGAAGACTAATGAGATCAATATGTTGAAAAACTAAAGATGACTTGGAATTGCGGCATAAAGCATTGGTACTTATACAAGATACTCTCAGTATTAAACAATTTATCATGTTACAAAATAGTCTGTATTGAGAAAAGTAGTTGCAAAACATATTGTAAAACACTCATATTACCTTCTACAATGAGATCAATTCGTTGAGACACAGCTCCCATGGAATTAGTAAATGTACATGTGTAGATCCCCCCATCTGAACGCTGGACGTCTCGGATTTCCACGGACTCTTTGTCCAGTGCAATGGTAACTCGCTTGGAGTTGACCAGAGGAATACCATTTTTGGACCACACAACCTCGGGTGGGGGTGTCCCTTTGGCTCGACAAAATAAATTTACTGTGGCCCCGAGCAGTTGATGAAGCTGGGTGGGTGAACTCGAAGTTATGTATGGCTTAGCTGAAATGGTCAAAAAAGAATTATATCATTCCTTCCATAAAAAATTAGTTCAAAATAATTCCTCATTTGTTTTTATTCAATATTTCTGACATTAAGATAGATATAGGAAATGGTAAAAATAGAGATCTGCATACCAGTAGTTAGTATGTAATACATCTTGGTTTATAATCATTATAATTTATCAGTGCAAAAACACATGAATCATGGCAAACTGCACAGAAGTGGAATGTCTTTTTTAAAAGAGACTTTCAGGTTTAAAATACCCTTTTATTGTTAAATGGAGTTTTAAAATTCTTGATGAACTTAGCTCATACTGCAAATTAAATCTCACTTCTGATCTTCAAAAGATTTTCATCTCGTGGACAAATACCCCCTATAAAGTCTTAGATCAATAGATGTAACTGATTTTCCAGGCCATGACACTTTTTCAATACCAGTATTATTTTTTTAACAATCAGTTTTCGCATTTGTTGATACAAAGGTCCCTAGCAATAGAAGAAGCTACCCGGCATTGACCACGTAATACCAGAATAACCCGAGGAAATGACCAGCGATTGAAGTGTCACTCTATCTGCATTACCTGTCAACAGCTCTGTCAAACAGAGAGCGTGCGCACTTGTATCTGGGGGTAAAGAGTATGTAGGATCATTAATTACAACACTCGCAGTAGAACCAGCAGCATTAAGTGTATATCCTGTAGATATAGAAGTTAAGGCAGCTGGGGCCTGTCATGTGTAGGAGGAATGCATGTGCAGTCACGTCTTACGAAATGCATGTGCATACATAAAACACTGTCCTTATCAAATTTATCATAATGGCCTGTTAATGTTCATTTATACTCTTTTTGTGAAGATCTACAAAAGCTATTTCACCTAATGTAAAACAAGTCATGTAAATTCAGATATGCTAAAATGCATCAAAGCATTTTTTGTTCATAAAATTCCCATTTAGATGCATGGATGCATTATAATACACAAATATTTCAAATACCTTTTGCACATTTAAAAACATTAAAAATGTGTATTAGCATTTTCTCACATTTCATTTAGATATAAAAGAAAACCTTGAATGCATGGTCTCAGCTATGTTATTACTCTTTTCCTAGGGCTTAAATTTGCACACTAATGATAAAGAAATCTGTTGCTACTTTATTAAGTTAAAACTATCCTGTCATGATTAAAGTAAATTTTAGTAGTCCCCATTCCCCTCAGAGATTTATAGGTACATTAAAAATCCTAGAGTTAGGTGCCTTACTTAAAATTTATGGCCCAATAAAATTGTACTTAGGAGTAATTAAGAGACCTAGAGAGTCATTCTGGGTAAATGAAAAGTTCTAGTTCATTAGTGTCTGTCTGAAGATTTAATGTACATGTACCAGCACTGTTGCTATTTAGTTTATTTACCCTGAACAGTAGACCTACATATCTGGTTTATATAGATAAATCGATAAACAAATAAGATTTATTTGAAGAGGGCAATTATAAAGAGCTGCCTAGATTCCAGGAATAACTTGAAAAGTTACCATGCAGAATTATCACAAAAATAACATCAGAACCTAAATGCATTCATATGAAAAAGAAGCTTAAATTCAAAGAATTTTATACAGTTAGAGATTCCAGGTTACAAGCCACTGCAAGCATTAAATAGGCCAAGTATCCTGATAGCTATTATACAGAAACCAGCTATAGCTGACATCCTCTTCCAAAAAAAACATGTATTCACAAATTATTTGTCAATTCAAAGAAATACATGGCAGCAAGATCAGGTATTCTTTACCTTGTCCACAAACGTCTCTGGTGAGAAAACAGATGAAAACAATCCCGAGGTACGCCACACACGGCAGCCCCCTCATAATGAAATCAAACTATTAATAGATCCACATGCTTTCCCTCCAATACTTGTCTGATCCCCCTAAAATCTTCAGGTGCTCCTCCCTTTCTTACTTCTCTCACTGTCAGGCTATGACATGGTAACCTATATTCTGTTTAAATCCCCCATCTCAACAGCAAAAAAAATTAACATGCCCCCACAAGACACAGTGCATTCACACCATTCATCCCCAAATTTAAAGGAAGAGTCCACTTTTGAATTTCTACAGGTGGGGTCAGGTAAGGCTCATGTACAACATGCCTAATCATCAAAACAAATAAACCCCTACTTGTTATAATACCGAGGGCTTTACACAGAGTTCTTTTATTAACCCTTGACTCCTGTGGTTAACACATTGACTCTAATGTTTTAAATTAACTCAGTTTATATACATTAGCAAGGAAAATAAATAATTAAGTTATTTACAACTGAACAGGTAAATGCCATGTTCAAAGCTGTTTAGAGAGATGCACTTGACATACCAAAAAAATTTAAATACAGATAAATAAATTCAACATTATTTTTTCTGAAATATCAAAGAACTTCATTTTTTAATTTGTAAAAGCTTAAGGTCCATAAGACTACCTCGCAGGAAATATATAAAGACACATATAGAGTGATATATTTTTAAGGGTACTTTTATTCAAAAAAAAAAAAAAATGCTGGGGAGGTTAGGGTCCATTCTTTAAAAAGATAATGTGTTAATTTATAAATCATTAATAGGATGTAACACTATTTAAGTGAACATATATGCACCTATAATGAATTAATGCTTACAACAAATTAAGTGATTTAACTTCAATCTACCTAGCTGTAAAATGTATTACAAACTTAATGGATACATTGATGCTATAGCTAGCTTAATAACAAATAAAATTATATTTTACAAAACTGAAATCCTGAGCAAATCCCCATTACCACATTCTACCAAATAATTTTTTAGTCCAACTGGCTTATCCCTCTTTGATTACATCTGGCATGTAACACAGGAGAAGATTAATTAACATTGTGCCATTTCTTCATCACTTCTTAATTTTTTTTAGTAGTATAGTCCTCAGTAGCATGTACAGTAGTATGACATGACATGATTGATTTCGCAAAATGGTATATCATCAACTTCCCTTACTTATGCATGCAGCAATATACCTTCATCACCTGCATACGGAGTTTATATATCTCTGTCAGTTGATTCGATATGCAAGAGGATGCTCTACTTATGAATAATTTCTAAAACAAGGTAATTTATTGACAAACAAGATGATAAAACAAGAATTTCAGCAGTCTGGATTAAAGTCTTCATTTCGTAAGTTTTATGGTCGATACAATGACCTTGTCAGCAATACAATTTATCACTGAGTGAAATGCTGACTGACATTTTTTATACTAATTTTTAGTCCATTATTTATACACTGAATTGACAACATTTTTTCCCATTTTTTGCTGATCATGACAAGGAGCACAGCGGGTGTGACTGGTTGGCAGGGGATGCTCACTCCTCCATGGCACCTGATCCCACCTCTGATGTTTTGGAGGTCTATGTTTGCTCTGCATGCTACTGTTTTGTATTTTTTTTTTTCGACTTTTGATTTTGAATTCTGTTCATTATCTCCATGTGTTTCATTTCAAGTTCAGTTGTATTTAAAAAATTAAATAAAATAAGAAATGACTTATTTGTGTAAAGACAATTAATGCTCCATGGCATTAATGATTCCTGAATACACTGGGCTGGTAACACATATACTACTGGAGC